AAGAGTTCTGCAGATCCCCATAGACAATGGAGTTCCAATCTAAAAACTAAGCTGTATTAGTTTACTACTTTGAGTTCATTTGCAATGGGCTCCAGGCTTCCAAATACCACCTTAATCTCATAAAGTTCCACGATGCTATTTTGAGGGTGCAATCCCTAGTCAGAAGAAATTTGGTTAGTGCAGAGCAGAAATTCGGAAAGTTGGATACTTGCATTTGGAAAGTTCCGAGCAGAAATTTCCCAAAAAATGTTTTAGAGCAGAAATTCCCCAAAATGTGCTCCTGGAAGTCATGGGGTGTTGGATTTTGCTTCTCTCTTGTAAAGCACCTTACTCCTCTCTCTCTCTCTCTCACCAACACATACAGAGATGGAGAAGGAAACTGCTCTTACCACAACACCCATATCATTCTATCTGAGTTCCCCTTCTCTGGTGTGACGAAGTTCTCTAGTGACTTATCTAGATGGCTATATTCTTGGCAACCTGGGTCCTTAAGTTGTTGGGGTGTGTGTAAAAATTATTAGATGGCAGTTATCTTGGCAGAATTGAGTTTTAGTTGGATTTTAAGGGTTCAACAGGGCCATTTCTTGGTGCAATGGTAAAATCTTGGACTGACGAGCATGCTTTTAATAGAAGTGGATTTCTTTTCCATAATTCAGGGGGCTTAGCCGCTTATGCTTTCAGTTTCTATTGGGTTGTCACTTGTGACTTGTCATGGGTCTAGGTTGATGCAGGCTCCTAGGTAGTAATAAGTTAGATGAAGGCAAGGAAATCTACTGCCCTTGGAGACTATGCTACCGGATTAGAGTGGCTAGATCTTTGTTTTCCAGAGTGAACCCCTCATCGCACTAGTATTTTAAATTCTTAATCCAGTCAGTGAAGTAAGTTATATTGGCTCTTTTTCACTTTGAAACCAATGTTTTAAAACATGGATGCATGATGCAAGGCATTTCACTACCTAGAGGCGTGAGTCATAGTTCAGAACACAAGAGGCATAAGCCTCTTGAGCACAAGGAGGTGTTAACATCTTCAAGAGGGGGAGGAGGAAGAAGAAGAAGAAGAAGAAGAAGAAACCAAGGGAGTCTGGGAGCTCCACCCATGAGGTGTACGCCTCTGGTATGCCTATTGCCTTGTGCACCCAAGGCACATGCCTCAGAGGCATAAAAGCTTCCATCATGTCCCTCAGGGTGTATTGAGGGCACCTTTTCCTAGAGGCACCCCTCTAGGCATACACTTCCTGTGCCTTTTAAAACATTGTTCGAAAAATGCCTCTCCTTGTTGTAAACTAATTGTAGAGCTACCTGCTTCTTGGGGTTTGTATGCCTCATATTTGGGCCTTTCTTTTGTGTGTTGATACTTTTTTTATTCCCTCTTTTATCAGGTTTACATGTTAATACAATGCATTGCAGTTATTCATCAGAAAAAAAAAAGATTAACTACCAAATCACTTAATCTTCAAAAGATTGCTATCTAGGGCTGAGGAAAGAAATTTAGCAATGTAAACTATCCTATGCTACTGCTCCATGGTCTCCTCTATCAGCTTTTCCCAATCTAAGCTAACAAGAATGGAAATTTCTTAATCAAGGTTCAAAATTTTGTTACATGTTGGGTCATATTGGCTAATACATACTGTATTGGTGATACGACAAATATACATCTTTTGGGATTTGACTCATTTTAGGGGTAGGCAGGCCTAAGACCAAACCTCTGACCTATTTTTGAAAAAAAAAAAACAAACTAAAAGAAAATAGGAACAGTGTGGTACAAAGTACTGATACACCTCTTTGCTGTGTCTATACTTTGGACCTTGTTCTTAATCTCTCAATAACACTAATTAATTGTGTCACCCATGTTCTACTACTGAACATCATCTCTGCGTTATTGGGCAATGACACTCATCGCATTCCTGTTAAAGATTTGCATATCCACCGGTCAGGGGGGTTTCATAATAATGGGCATATCTCAAAATCTCACATATTCCCTCATTCTCAACTTCATAATGGGATATAACTTGAATAAATTCTTCTGAACCCAAGTAGTTTCCATAATACTTGAATGGAGATGATAATTGAGATATAATTAATATTTTCCTAGATGTAGTGAAATTAGTTTATACAATCTTTATTCCTCTCCTTACTTCTTAATGAAGCATAGTATACAAAGTGTGTGGCACATGGAGATGAAAAACACTATCCCATTAGTTTCCATATGATACATATTTGCTGCAATTAATGAACTCATTTTCCACATTAACCACCTGATTGTAAGTTTGTAACACAACTAGGGAAAAGGGACTAGACCACAGAATCATGGTCATCAAATTCAAGTATTGGTCATTTTTCTTTTGAAGGTGAGCCAGGGAATGGTTAACCTACTTTAATGGTCAATCAGAAGTGAAGATAAAGTTGAACTCAAGTCTGTTTTAATGGTTAACCTACTTTTAACAGTTTCACAAGCTGGCATCGAATAGGGTAAAAATTTACTTAAAATTATGTTCATTGTTTACTTGAAGTAAGAAGAATATGAATCGGTGATGCTAGTGAAAGTAACAGAAACATAGTGAATAATGGCCAGCAGGTATGAAGGTATGTTTCTTCTCGTGTTAACTGAAGATAAAGAGAATTTTGGAAATCTTTCATGATCCTTGACATAAAAAAAAAGCTTGTTGGACCCTCTTCATTTTGGATTGCCAAAAAAAAAGAAGCTTGTCAATTTCTCCGATCTTTCTTTTTGCAGCATTCTCAATGCATCTGCATCTTAAAAGACCTATAGAAGTTAAATTAGATGCTTTTGGTTTGAGTTTTATGAAGTTTCACAATTAGTACACCTACAGCAGTACACAGCACAAAGTTACTTTTCATTTAATCAGGATTTGAAATGGAAAACTGTAATAAGTACATTATTAATCAACAGATATTTTACTATTGGTTAAGGCTATCCGGGTCAGATTCCAGATATATTTGCTCCTTTATCACTGTTAGAATACCTTGTTATAACTGAAGTAACATGATCTTATACATTTTGAAATTCAATTATTCTGATATAAGCTAGCTACAGTCTATCTTGATGTTGTATTTACCTGTTATTATTCCCAGGTTTGGCATTTCATCCACTGGATGGGATTCTGCAAGCAGTTCCGCATGTAGTATCACTCTTCCTTGTGCCAACCCATTTCACAACTCACATGGTTCTCTTGTTCCTTGAGGCTATATGGACGGCAAACATTCATGACTGCATTCATGGCAACGTATGGCCTATCATGGGTGCTGGCTACCACACAATTCACCACACTACATACCGGCATAACTATGGCCATTACACAATATGGATGGATTGGTTGTTTGGAACTCTTCGTGATCCTTTGTCAGACTCAGCAAAGATGATTTGATGTGGTAATGTGGCCTTTCTACTTGCGGTGCAGGCAGACCCTGGGGCCTTGAATCTGCTTGTGTTGCCTAATGAGCGTTGTCGTTTGGTTCTTTCCCCCTTGTATTTGGTTAGGCTGGTGTAGTCGGTGTGTAAATTATGATGATTAAGTTGCTGCTAAAATTGATCTATTTCTGTCTGTCTGATCCTTCTTCTTTGGATCATTAACCTGGATGGTGGTGTAGATGATTCAGTTGAAAACTTGAAATAAAGAACCCCTACTATTAGAAGATCGAGTGCAAGGGAAGCAGTACAAGCAGTAGGATAAAAGTAAAAAGAGTAGTCTACAGAAAAGCTGATCAAGCCCAAGATATGTAAAGATTGGGGATGCCCCTGGCCCTGGAACTTCTTCTCTAAATCTTGTCTTCCCAGTTCCCACCGCCTCTCTCGCAATAAAGTCTAAGTCGATTAAGGAGTTGGTAACCGAATTATTCATGTAAATGAACTGTTTAGAAGAGCGGCTAGAGCCTTCGCCTCCGGCCTCCCTCGAGTAACTAGAATCTAATCCAAAAAAAATTTGTCGAGACCATTCGGTTGGTGGCGGACCTCTTTAATGATGCGACCAAGTTGATCTGTAGATAGGCAGTAGGCAGCTAGGCACTGATGAGGTTAATGGTTGCCATTTTTTTGTGGGGCTGGTTGATGAACTCTCTTCTTGGTTGAATGTAGACCTGTTCATGGGCCGGGTAGTTCGACGGGTTGGCCTGGCCCGGCTTGGCCCGTTATTAAGTCGGGTTTGGTCATAATTTTAGGCCTGTGGGTTGGGTTTTCTCAAAAAAGTCCGGTTTAAGCCCAAGCCCAACTTGATATTATATATTAAATAATAAAAATATATTTTATTTGATAAAAAAATATATAATATTTTTTCTTTGTTCTTTTTTTTTTCTCTTTTTTCTAAGTAATAGTGAGATGTTTATTATTCTTGAGTTTTGAAGGTTTTTAATATAAATAACACTTTTTATTGAATAAAAAAAGAAAAAGAATTATGTTTTTAAATTTTTGGCCAGGCTCGGGCTCAGTTTCGGGTTTTATATGAGGGCTGGGTTCGAGCTTAAGACTTAAGTCCAATGATCGGACCAGCCTTGAGCTTGAGTGTAATCTGTTGATACATATACAAAACCTGACCCTAACCCAGCCCGGCCTGGCCCATAAACAGATGTAATTGAATGTGGTGGTAAGCGGCAGTTTTCAAGGTCTTAAATTGGTCTTCATGTCTGGTTGGCAGGACGCCGATTGTGGAAAAATGACTACCAAGTAGTAATGTAATTGAGTGATTGGGGAGACGCGTGATCTAATCCCATTACCACCAAGATCGGGTGGGGTGGGGTAGGGATGGGGATGGTTATATCGGTTCAGGTTCTGATTTGTGACCTAAACAGTTTTTGCTGTCCTGAGCCAATTATGTATTTTAATAAGGTTCGGTTATGAACTTATGATAACTGAAAAACTTGTAGCCAATCAATTGGGATCATAAACGTGGTGATCTATTAAATTAGGGGGAGGGGGAATTGGTTAATAGCCATTCCGCCAGCATAGATTTTTCCAATTTAAGGCTTTATGGTTTTCTTGCAATTTTTATTATACTTTGGTCTGATCCGATTTTCGGGAAGTAGGAGCAGATAAGTTGTTAGTTTTTATGGAAAAGAAATAAATTCGCTTTTGTTTTTTTGGTATTAGTGAGTTTGTGGAAAAAGAATGGTTCCCATATGGGCACTTGGGCAAACCTAGGCATAAAACCAATTGAGCTATGGGGGGATTTTCCTCACAAGACTGCAATTGGCGAGTAGGCTCTGAATTCGCCATGTAGAAGTGGCAAATGGATGGGCTGGATTGGGTTGGGTAAGGATTGAATACCAACCTACCCATATTGATCCATATTGACCCACCAATCTATCATGGCCCATTATCAATCTTTGTTAAAGGGTCATAACCCACCATAACCCTAATCCATCTTGACCCACCCATATTGACCCACCCTAATCCATCGACCTTTAATCACTCTCAGCCATACTAACCCACCTATCTTCACCTATAAATACAAAAATGGGTTGGGATGGCCTGTATAACCAAAAAAATAGTTTTTGAGAAAATAATTTCTCTCAAGATTGTTATGTGACAAAAAATGAGTCAGGTCAACCCGTATAGTTGAAAATGCAAAAAATGTAGATAAATGCAGAAAATTATAGAAAATGCAAAAAATACCAAAAAATGTAGAAATTTCAGAAAAATACAAAAAGAAAAACAGAAAATTACAAAAATGCAAAATAAAAAACTAAAAAGTTGCAGAAAATTCAAAACTTTTGTAGAAACAATAAAAAAATATGCAAAAAAATACTAGAAAATTGTAGAAAATGCAGAAAATACCAAAAAGTTACAGAAAATAACAGAAAAATGCAGAAAATGCATAAAATTCATAACTTTTACAAAGTGCTTTTGTAAAAGTGCTTTAAAAAAAGTCCTATAAAAGTACTTCCACAAAAGTGCTTTCTTAAAAGTACTTTCGTAAAAGTACTTTCGTAAAAGTGCTTTTGTAAAAGTACTTTTATAAAAGTGCTTTTATGCTTTCACATAAATACTTTTGTAAAACTACTTTCATGTAAAAGTACTTTTGTAAAAGTGCTTTCATAAAAATACTTTTATAAAAGTGCTTTTATGCTTTCATAAAAGTGTTTTCGTAAAAGTACTTTCGTAGAAGTGCTTTCGTGTAAAAATACTTTTGTAAAAGTGCTTTCGTAAAAGGCCTTTTCATAAAATTACTTTACAAAATTGCTTTTGTGTAAAATTGCATGTGAATATGAAAGTTAATAAAATCTATTTTATTTCACTTTTAATTCTAAAGTGAAATGTGGCATGGTGGTTTGGAATTGTAATGAGATGTGGATGCGATAGGAAGCTTGAGTTTGAGTCACTTCTACTGTTATTTTTTTGAGATTTGGCAAGTGATGATGAATAATTTGGCACGACCTGGTAAATAAAAGTCACGTGGACGTGATCTGCATGTAGGATGACAACTCAGCATAGGGAGCCTAGTTAGCGATATGGGGAGCTTGGCATAAAGTCACTTCGGCATAAGGTTACCTCGGCGTAACACCACCTCGGTGGCTAATCGAGTTTGGGGCTCAGGAACCGATGTGACACGTAATATATCCCAATAGCTTCCCAGCAGACTTTGAATATTATGGGATCATATTGCATAACGGCAAGCCTTATCTTCTCCCTGTCCGAATCGGGTGGCGATAATGAGGTTCATTGACTGATACATTACTCCCCAACTAAAGCGGAAACAGATCTCGTCCATTCAGGCCACAGATCTCGGAACTATTCCTAGAAACCCGCAATAACTCAGCTATATAAAGGCATCAACCCCTTCATGGTCCAGGTACGTGTGATTACTTGCATCCAAGCTCTCTAGCACTCAGATCCTAGCTCGCAATCACGACACAGTACTGACTTAAGCATCAGAGCGACCTCGCCAGGTTAACTGCCCTGGGTGCTCTAATCCTCTGTCTTGCAGCTTGGTCCAGCTCGCTACACGACTAAGGTCTATGTCATCTTCCAGCTAGGAGCTTATAGATCGTGCATCATCAGCAAGTATAGGTAGAGTTGACTTTGACACAACCCATCCTAACTCGACTCAATCCATCCTGACCCTAATGGGCACCCTCGACCCAACCAACCCTGACCCTTTTTCATTGACCCTAATGGGTTACTTGATCCATATTGACCCGCCAATAGATTGGGTGGGTATGGACGGATTCCAAGGTGGGTGGGTCAAATGGGTTGGAGTCAAGATTGCCAGCCCCGTTAAGAAGTAGAGGTATGTCTCTCCAAATGAAGATTCAAATTGTTATATTTAGGTAATTATATTGACCCTAATCCGATTTCCAGACCTGATTAGTCCAATTAATAATTGGTTGAATTTTGAGTCTGGTTCTTGTACCAATAGAGCCTGTTTCAGGACTTGGTCTACAAAGTTGCTCAATTAGTTTAGAATTGATTCCACCATGTCCAGGATTAGACCTGACCTATTAACAACTCCTTTCTATGTTGAATGAGTCAAGGGGCTTGGGGCTGAATTTCAGTAGTCATGTCAAGGTTGAAAGTATCAATACACCCGATATGCAAAATTTGTGTATTGTCTATTTCGGGTGATTGATACACTAATTTCTTTTTTTTTCATATTTTTACTAGGGGTCCATAATACTTTCATTTAAAGTTTAGAAACATCAATATTTTAAAAACCCTCAATATTGAGCATTTCTGTGACCCCCGAAATAATAATCATATCAATACTTTCAATCATGTGCGATGAATATACAAAGCTAAGGGTCAGATTGGAAGCAATACAACATATTTGTATTTGTACTTCTTTTAAATTGAGCCTAAGGCTGTGTTTGATTGCAATGCAAATAAATTTGTTTTGATATACAAAACCATAGCAGTGCAAATGATTTGAGTGTAAATTCTAACCTATTTTTTGTTTCAAATTTTAACTTATTTTGTTTGTTTATAGTACAAATAAAGTAAATTAAAATATGAAGCAGAATAAGGTAAAATCTAAAACAAAATTAAACAAGAATTTACATTTACACTTCCATGCATTTGTACTAGTGCAAATACCAAACACAGCCGAAGGCATTTGTGAGCCGTGTATTGATTCCTCTGTAATTCAATCTCTTTGAATTATGGAGTTTTTTTTTTTTCTTTTACTTGTTCAGTTTATGAATCAAGAACCTTTTATCGTTGTAACAGAAAAAGAAAAATATCAATGGGGTAGGGCCCCTAAATCTGTCCGATATCTAGAACCAGAGATTTGGTCCAGTCATTTTACGTTTGAATTGAAAGTTAGCATGCTTCTATCAGGCCCACCGCCCACCCAAAAGGTTTGAACTCAACCCGGTCGTTCAAAACCTTTAAATGGCGCAAAAATAACCACAAGATTTGAGTACATGATTGACCGAATGCCCTTGACCCTTGCTCATTATTTTAGGAACATTAATGCTGCGATGTACTGTAAAGTGTAAATACTGTTGGTCTAGGAAGGAAGTTCCCATGCAAAAGTACAGCTTTCGTCGAATGAACATATAAACCCTCATGATTTCATCGCTCATTGCCTGCAAAATTTTAGAAGTTGAGAAAGATACAGCAAAGTGATCAATAGGCTTTCACCATGATCATTCTTTTCTCAAGATATAGAATCCTTATAATACAAATGTAGGCCCTGTTTGGTACATCTTTTTGTGCCGGTTGTTTGGTTCTTTAGAAGAACCCTGATAGTTTATGTTTTTATCTTTTCCCGGTAGCTGAGAAAAGATCTAGCTTTCGAAAGATGCGGTTCAGAAAAGATGTGTGAAGTTCGTTTTGAATTATTTTCGGAAAATTTCAAATAAAGATTTTCGACTTTTTTCATCACATCTTTGCATGAGAAGACATACCTTAATCAAATAGTCTTTAAACTGCTAAGATCTTAATGCAAAAGCTCATATCATTTTTTAAATTAAACTATTAGCTCTGTGAAAAGATCTTTCAAAAAAACATACCAAACAGCATCTTAATCTTTTCCAGTAATTGTTGAGGGATGAAGATTATAAGATAAAATAGTTCTGTTTGAACGGGTCCAGAGGCCTTAAGGGTTTCTCCAGCCTCTTGACTGTTGACTCTATTCCACAATGACCCTACTACTTGCAAGTTGTAACTTGCAATTAGGGACATGTATTTTTTTAGAATAATGTAGTAAAGAGTCTAAAGACAACGTACCACATAAAACACGAAGAGAACGACTTTATTTCGATTGGGCCTACAAAATGATCCAATCGGGTTGGATATTTGGAGATCCAAATTTGATTTGATTTGATATATTTAGGCTTAGTTTGGAAAGGAAAAATTTATAATATGATATGGAAAGAGTTTTGATCAATCAAAATCCACCCATGATTTTGATAAATAATACCTGATTCGTTATCAGGTTTATGATTCCAGTTTATTTGTCAGTTATTTTTCTGATATCATATCTTTTCCATATCATAGTCAAACCCGTTTGAAAATAGTACAAATACAAATATATGTAATGGAGAAAACTTTGTATTTTATATTATTTTGTATATATTTATATTGTACATATTTGTATTTATATTCTTTCCAAACTGGGGTTTATAATAATCAAATTCGAAATGGTTATTATTCATTGGCTTTATGTAATAGTATTATTAATTTAAACTAAAAATGATCTATTACATATTATTAATAAAATGAATTAAAAATGACTTTGATATTATGTTTTATAAACAAAATTAATTAAAAATTACTTATATGAAACTTGAATGAAAATTTAGTAAAAGCACAACATTCGAATCAACTTCACCGGTAAGTACAATATAAGTTTCAAGTATATTTTATTTAAATCAAATCGATTTCAATTGAATCAACTCATATAAGGATAGATTCATATTTGATCCAATTATAAATAGATTGAATTTGAATCACCCTTAATGGGGTTGAATTCAAATTTAAACAATTGCAGCCCTACTTTTGATCATTAAACACTGGATCAAACCGGATAAATAGGAACATGCTGTATAACTCGAACCCAGTAATATCAACCGGCCGGACCAGTGTCCTGAACATCAATGAGCTGACTCAGAGATTACTCACCATACAACATCTAACAGACTTTGCTATTAAATTCATTCACTTGTCACAAATAAAATCTCATTAAGTTAGGTGTTGCAAACTGCAACCACCCATCCAAAGGTGGATTTTGGGGACCTAATATGTGATAATATACTCGGACTGGTCTGGTCCGGTTGGTAAATTAAACCGGGTTCAGATTCGACAGTATAGTCCAGTTCATCTCAAATATTCCTCTGCCAAATAAAATAAAATGATATACAGTTGAGAAAAAAATGATAAATGATTGGGACAAAAACAGGGCCAATCTTTTTGGTTTATTTGGACAAATTGAAGTGGACACATTTTAAATTATTAGCCAAACATTGCATATAAAAACAGAATGAGGGATGCCATTAGGACTTGTTAATGGCTAACTCATCCCTCCCTACTCAGGGCTGTAAATCATGGTGTCAATGGATCGGCTTTGTGTTATATCCATTCAAATTATAAAATCAATTTATACGGATTGAATAAACCAATAAGACATATTGAATTGGACTAATCCAGATTTAATAGTCTAAAGTATTTATTGGATTGGATTAAATTGGATTTGATCCATCTGCATTTGATTTATTGTTAAATTGGATTAAATTGAACCAATATCCAATAAATATCCGGTCTACTGATAAAAGATAAGAGTATTGCATCATTGGACCAAGTATGATCTAAATTAAAACCGATTTGAACGAATTAAACGATTTATTTATTGGATTTGATTGGACATGGTCTATTTGTAATATACTCATTTTGGACCTGATCAGGTTGGACCAATATCCTCTCCATTGATAGCATAGTTGCAAATGAATCTGGCTAAATTGAATTTGGATTTTGAATATATCTCTATGTAGATAGGATTTTTGTTAATATTTGGTTTGGAATAAGGGGCTATATAATATGCAAATCGGAACGAGACGAGTCAAATAAATCACAAACGCGCAAAACTACAAAGCAACTAGTAAAGGTAGCGGCCACCACCACCAGACCAGACAAAGTTAAATGCCGCGTAAATGGTGGTTACATCACCATCAAAATAACTTGAACAAAGCCCTCAACTTGCTGCCTTGTTATCAATATCATTGATTACAAGCATTCTGAAGGGACGTTTGGTAATGGCTGGAGGTAGTACTGGAGTGGCCTGAACTGAATGTCTTATTATTTTGTCTTTAAATTGATAAAACATTTAAAATATAAGATAATTGTATATTTATTTACACTTACTTAGCTTAAAATCGTCAGAATAACTTAATTCACTCAAAGACTAAGTGCCCATTTATGAGGGATTTGGCCCTGCAGCTATATAAACTTAATTTGCTGAAAATCCACATAAAGCCCAAAATATATAGCTGTATAGCCAGAAGCCACTGGCTTTATGAGGTGGGCCTCCCTGAACAGCCTATAAATAGTGCTTTTACAGAAACAAAAGAATATTTTACAGAAAGAAAATACATGGATTTTCACTGGAGCTTTTTTTAGTGTCCATGGCTGAAGCACATTAGCTTCTGGCTTTCTGGGCCTCACAGGAACAACCTATAAACTATATTTGGTAGAAGATCTGGAGAGTCCAAATCAGCTGTTAATTAGTTATTTGAAGGACTGTCTGCTTCAGTCTCTTTGGATAATTTATTTGGAGTACTTCAAAGCAGCTGAACCAGTTTGACTGAATCTTTAGGTCAGCCCTGACAAACAGGCCCTTAATGGTTTTTCCAAAGCAGCTAAGTGCAGTGTTTTTGAACTTCTGTTGATCTAGATGGTTGGACTGTTCAGCCTGAGAACTTTCTAAGCAATTGGTTTAATTTCACCCTTAACCTATTGTTTGGACAAAATCATTGACTTAATCAGCAACGCATTGACTCGAGCGATCGAACTGTTAACTTATTTAACCCGAACAATAAATTTTGACCATTTTCTTGTTTTAATTATTCTTTTTAATTTAGAATGAACTATCCGTTCAAACTGAACAATTGAACCGCTGACCCAAAACCGGTGGTGAAAACGGTTCCGGTTCCGGGTTTATTTTTAATACATTGGGTAGGTGCCCATTTGAGAGTATTTCTTCCATGTAGTGGCATCAGATTGTTAGCTTTACGAGACAGGTCCCACTGGACAGCATATAAGCAATTTATAGTGCAAACTCTGAAAAGCGCAAAAATGGCCACCTTACAACCGAAATTATATCTTTTTGCTAAGCTTCTTCTAGTGGCTTCTCCAAAACAGTTCAATAAAAGCTTCATTCGTCCCAAATGGCCCCTCAGACAGAAAACTGCTCAACCCAAGCTTCAACTGTTCAACCCTCCCAAAGGGGGCCTAAGTCATCTGGTTCAGCCACTTCAGCTGTTATCACAGTCTTGAAATATGTTAGTTTCTTTTCTTTTTCTCCTTAAACCATAACTCTTTGGCAGAGCATCCACTCAAGTGTGAAGTGGCATTTCGTTATCTACGATAGAGGCCACAACACAAACAAATGAAGACCAGCAGTACATGATTGAATTGGGTCTGGGTCCGGTCTTAGAACCTGGATTCTAGTAACCATGACCTATCTCTGATACGCGACACAAACCAGCAGGAAAATGTGGATGGTGGGTCAGGATACTAACGAAAAAAAAAACGTTTTGGCGTTTCTCAAAAATCGCCCATCTCAGAAAACGTTTTTTCCCTTTCTCAAAACGTTTTCTCAGGTACTGTGGCTGACATGGCTCCGACTTAGTACCGTTTTCTCAAAAAATGGCAATAAAACTAAACAAGCATTACCATTTTTTTCATTATGCTGCCGTTTTTTTGAAAAAAAATGCAATAAAACCATAGTTATTGGGCCTAAATGGACCACCTTAAATCTGTCTGTGTTTAAAGCTTAAAACCCCTGATAATTAACAAAAGAATTAGGCAATCCTTCATGGGCCTAAAGCATGGGCTCTAGTAATGTGCCTGAAAATTTAAAATTGATCTCATTTCCAATCGAGCTCCACTCTCCAGGTTCGATTCGTGGTGAGAGTATGTACGTTTGACTTTCCTGTAGTAAAACTGACGTAATTGACATGATGCAACGAAATCCACGTCGTCTCCTTCCTATCTATTTCGTCCTCATTTCCAGGTACTTTCTCCTAATTCATTATTTTAATAGGTTCTCTCGCTTCCTGCTTTTTAAGGCAAGAGAGCGCCAAGGCTGATATATATCAAGGCCTCATTCTTCTAAGCTTTTCTCAACATATCCATCTCGATCTTTCAGTCGTCTCTGCGCAATTCACTTGATCAAAGGATGGCAGCCAAAAGGCTTCTTGATGGATCTGGTCGGGACCCAGCTGAACCGGATGGCAAAAGGATGAGAACACGACCTTCTTTTGCTGCGTTCGTATCTTATTTTATATCCAAAAACCTTTCGCTTCACTTCCTTTTCCCTTCTTCTGTTAAGATATAACGGATTCTTCTTCTTCTTCTTCTTCTCTTGTAACAGTTTTCATAAAAGTTAAACAAACGATATTTTATGCTGAACTTTTAACTAGTTTTTTTCTCAAATTCGGAATTGTTCTTTCTGAACTTTAACTAGTTTTCTTCCGGATATTTAGTTCTTTTATCGTCTAATTTGAATGGGTAATCTTTTATTTTGGTGCTTGGCCTGGTCTAGCTAATTTCTTATCTTAAATCTTTTCTAAAAGAACTGTCTAACCTTTCGAGTCTCACATGCTCTCAAGTTCAACCCATTTCCTGTGAAAATTAATAAATGAAAAGACGACAATTAATTAGTGAATTCTATAGATGGGATTTATCGTGACATGTGTTCTTCTCTCTTGACAGTGTAATTTCAGAAGTTGTGATGGTGAAATCGTTACAGAACTTCTGTTCAGCCTTGGAACCGCTGCTTAGAAAAGTGGTATGATGAAGAATTAATAGTCTCTTCTGAAACATACTTGATCTTGTGACTGTATATCAATACTATAACTTTGGCTTTTACATTATTTTCAGTTTGAAGAGTCGTTGGAAAACCAAAACCAGACAAGATTCACATCCTTTCCTCATATATGTTAATATTATATTAATTATTTTTTTAGTTCATAATATTATATTATATTAATTATTAAAATGGCCCACTTTTAATCGATAGTTTCACAAAACCACCTTTACGTCCTCCCCACGTACTGTAATATATTGATATCTAGTACTTGCTATCTGTGGAAGAACTGGTCAACATAGACGTCTTTTTGATTAATTTATTTTTTGTATATTTCTGGTGAAAGATTCTTAAATTTAAAAAATACAAAAGATAAAAAAAGAAGAAGGACAAAATCATAAACAAAGACTCGACCAATTTGTTTTACTTTGTGTCCGAGTGTTCTTAATTAATTAAATGTAATCTCTATAATACCTTTGTTTAGGTTAATGAGGAGGTGGAGAATGGGGTAAGACGCAGTGCACGCTTGCTTCAGAGGTATATATTGATGATATTAAATATGTTTCGTCAATTCGTCCATTTAAACACTGTTTAATAATTTTTTTTAATCTTAATTTTGTAAGGTCTCCTTCATTGCAACTCCGAGCGCTTGAGCCATCAAACTACAAACTGAGCTTCAGCAATAAGCTCTCACTTCCAGTGTTCACGGGGAGCAAAATTGAAGATGTGGACAACAAACCACTTCAAATCTTTCTCATGAACACTGAAGGCGATAGAGAGTTTCAGACTTCCCTCCCTCAACCCATCAAGGTAGAGATCGTGGTCCTCGATGGGGACTTCCTTTCCGATGACCGTGAGAATTGGAGTGGTGAAGAATTCAATAACAAAATTGTTCGAGAAAGAACTGGTAAGAGGCCGTTGCTCGCCGGAGAGGTGTTTGTAACCTTGAGGGACGGCTCTGCTTCGATTGGGGAATTGTCGTTTACCGACAACTCAAGTTGGATTCGGAGCCGGAATTTCAGGTTGGGTGCAAGGGTGGCTCCAGGGAGTTACCAAGGTGTTAGGATACGTGAAGCTAAGACGGAGCCGTTTATGGTTAAAGATCATCGGGGAGAATGTAAGTTCCTTCTACTGAGAACTCAGTTTCAGGGCTTGTTTCTTTGTATATTTTAGTTGTCGAAATGAGAGACCATATTGTGAAGTATGGGGTCGGATATTTATAAATTGTCTTAATGCTTTGGTACGGCATTGAATCGGGTCGGGTCAGAAAAAAACTTCAGAACAAGACCTTTGTCCTTGTCCATTAATAGAGGTGAGTAGGGTGTTGACTCGCGTTTGGGTTAAAATAATAACCCGAATAGGATAGTTCATTGTTTGGGTGAGGACCCAGTACAACCCGATTCTGGTGGATTTGTACCGGCCTTAAAAAAATATAGGGAAAATATTGCAAAGATACCATTTTAATTCCCCATTCCAAGTAAATCTAGCACGTATCTTACCACATCTGTCACTATGTTCCATAATGCCAGTTGTCCACGTCAGCTTACTCTTGCATCTCACGGGGCTCTTTGGTCTATTCCATATATATTAGTTGTCCACATCAGCTTATTCTCTCTCCTTCTCATTGCTTTTCAACCCTCTTAGAATTTTGAATTTGTAAAATGATTGAAAAATCAAATATAAGACCATTTACTCACCTACAACTTAGGTTGCTTTTGGATAAATTTCAAGATTTATGTCCCTAATTTAGGTTTTTTTTTTGGGCTCAAAAGTCTACATAGGCTCACTTGCCTGTCTCCCATTCCTTCCTAATGTATGGCTACAATGACTGTTGGGATTATGTATTGAGACTAGTTACCGAGAACAAGTTCGGATCTGGTCCAATTACATGGTCTCTTCTAATATATATTTTTCTGAGCAGAGGTACCAGGGTTCCTGCTACCCCACCCATGGCCCATCTAGTAGCAATTTTTCCGTTCCCGTTCCCGTTAGGTAATCGGCCTCCAAGGCCCAATCGGATTGGATATGGAGACTACTCCAGCCAGGGAAGGGAAGAGGACAGGAATGGGGGAGTGACATCTCCACAACGGGGAAGTTGGGAAGGAGAATATGGTCTACAACCCAAACCCGATCCGTTTCCATTCCTACTTCATACCACCATCGAGTGGATCCGACCGCAAACCACTAAAATTTGGACGGTGGGTTATGGCACAACTGTGGGATCTTTTAAGTTGACCCATCCAAGGTTGGAATTGGATGGGTGAATTGTGGTCCTCAGACACAACAAGCTGGAGGCCACAATCTTGGGCACTCATTCCCAGTCCCAGGACAAATGGACAATACATATATAACAAGTATATTAAAGATTGAGGTATTTGTTTTTTGTTTGGATCATCATGTTTTGATTGCTTTTTCTATGCTTTGAAAGCATCTTTGGTTGTTGGGCGCTGAGTAAAAAGGATAAAAAATGGGGTTTTTTATTGTTTAGTCCACCTAAGAGTCTTAGCGTACAGTTGGGATCGATGAAGTTCACGGATAAAATGCGTACAGTTGGCATCTTTAGTTTGGACTGCTCATGCTAGACTTTGATGAGCGATGACTGCCAAGTCTCCAGCATTAATATATACGGACCAGTGGTCCTAGATCCTGGACCAAGACAAGCCAGATATTCTCATTTCTCAGTCCACAGCTACTAAAAAATATTACGAAACCTCGGATCCCAAATACCTTTTCCCTTGTTAATCAAATAGTTTTTAGCTTGACTTATTCTCTTTCATCGTAACTGTTAAACTGATCTCTCTCTCTCTCTAGACCCAGTTAAACAAAAGTTCAGAAATTGATAATTTGAGCATTGATATATTAATTTCTGCCATTACAGTGTACAAGAAGCATTACCCTCCGATGCTGACCGACGAGGTATGGCGTCTGGAGAAAATAGGAAAAGATGGGGCCTTCCACAAGAAGCTTATCTCAGAGTCCATTGGCACAGTCCAGGACTTCTTGAAGCTATGGGTTGTTGACTCTGCCCAGCTTAGAAATGTAAGCTATCTTTTTGTTTTCTTTTTAGATATGGCCATTAACATATCTACAGAGACTGTAAATCATCTCAGTTAGGACACAAATCGTACAAATTTCTCATGTTGGTCTTGCTCCAAATTTGCCACCGCAGATACTTGGCTTAGGGATGTCGGACAAGATGTGGGAGACAACCATCAAACATGCCAAGACGTGCCTCCTTGGCAACAAGCTGTATAGGTTCCGTGGACCTCGGTTCACCTTAATATTGAATCCTATATGCCAAGTTGTAGAGACAATGCTCGACGGAAAGACGTACTCGGCTTGTGAGTTAACTCCATTTCATAGGGTAAGGATTGCAATCAGACACCCTCTGTCTCAGTTCCAAATGCAAATTAAGTTGCATTTTCTGTATTTATTCTGGCTGATTTTCTGTCTTTTTTTTTTTTTGAGAAAATTCAGGCACACATTGAGCAGTTGGTTAAAAATGCATATAGGCAATGGGATTCACTAGAAGAAGTTGATGGACTACTCACTGAGAATGCTTTATTAGGTCCAGGTACTTTTTCTTACCGCTGATTTGTCATGTTTGTCTTCGCCATATGCATGAGAAGTTCTTATTACAACTTCTTGCTATAGAGTCGTATGCTTGGACTCAAATGAAACAGATGGGTTTTATTAACTTATTGACCCATCATTTTTGGATCATCCAGTAGCTTAATTTAAGCTTAAACTATGCTGAATTGACATGCACGGATCTCCCTAGGTTCTCTATTTCCCTATACAATTCTAACTTGTTCTAACCTTGCAGGTGATATGGAGGCCTATTCCACTCGTCATCAAAACATTATAATGTCAAACCAGCAGAGTGAGTTTTCCACTGAGGCATTCATTGAGGTGGGCACCGTACCAAGCAATCCATTTTTGGCATACAACAGTTGGCCACAAAACCCAACATATTTCACCTCGCAAATTGAGAGCAGCAGTGCCTATAACATGTCAGAGTCCTCATCTGATGGCGATTCCACACCTTCACTAGCTTACTTTAATGGAGTCTAGTGCGACAATGTACATTTGTTACTTACATGTGTTTGGGTACAGGCATAGAAATTAGAATCCTCTTGGTAAGTCGCTGCCCCATGGAGGAACATTGTGGCTTTGGCGCAAGACAAAGTGACTTACTCCAGAGGAATTCATTTTCCTCCTCTCTGTTTGGTTTTCTGATCTTCTGTTCATCACTTATCCAAAGCAATGGCTGAAAGCCCATGTAAATGTTTGTAATCAGTGTTTCTTTTACTGTTTTTTTCAAACATTTTGGGATAGAAAGACTTCAATAGCAGCTAATTGGAGTAAAGCACATATATGGTGATCTGTCTAATATCCCAATCTTTGGTGGCAGTTATCCTTTTATATATCTCATATATTTTCACGTGGGTCTATATTGTATGCTGAACTACTTGTATAAAGAGGAGATATCATTGCAAATTGATGCTGCAGAAACAACTGCAACAGTGTTTTCTGGCGCAGTACATTTGTTTTTAAATCCAATTTATCATTGCTTTTTCTGCTCCATTTACATTGGGAAACAAGAGCCTTAATTATCTATTATTTCACTTCAATCCCTTTCAATAGACATATAGGAGATTGACAACCTAATAGGCAATCTGGGACAGGACTTTCTTTTTTTATTTGGTCATCACTATAATCTACAGCATGTGAATTTCCTCTTAAACAAGTTGTCCAAGCTCTGGTTAATATCTTCTGCAATAGTTAATAAGAAAGGGTTGAATGAATGTTTCAAACAGACCTGGAAACTGTGGGCCTAACTGGCTGGGATTGGTGGGCAATCCATGGAAGGTGGACTCAAAGTGATTATCACCATCCAACATCAATAAAAGGACAATCAGCTAGGAACGGACATAGGCAGGAAAGAAAGAGTCAGATTGCTTATCTGAGCTATGTGGATATTTCCTCAAATTTGAACAGATTTACCAGGTTGATATTACTGAATGTCTATTGGGAAGCACTAAAGGACTGAGTTCAAACACTAATTAAGCAATTTAAACATTGTGAAATGTGGAATTCACAGGGGAGTGTATGAGAAGTAGATGTTTGGCAGCAGGTCCGGATGATTAGTGAAAACATGTTATCCATAAATTCAAGATTAAGACTTTTTGTTTAACTTCATAGTTGTTGTAATTGTTAGCTTCCGTTCTTCCATTAATCCTAAAACTGTTCCATCTGATGTCCTAAGTTTTTCTTTCATAGAGAAAGTCAAATTTACAAGCCCCATAATGGCCCCCAATAATACTATGACCTCTTTCGTTCATGTGCCTTTCCTTTTGGGATCTGGTGCTAGAACAAAGAAGAAAAACTGATGTTCCAGTATCAGATATGACTGACTTTTGAGAATATGAGGTTATTTCTGACCCTCTAATATTTGTTTGCTTCAACTCTGAGAGCCACCACTTTGTGCTAAAAAATGCCAAAGGTTAGATCCATATTCAGTCTACCCCTCTGAAGACCTTGATAGTTGGGACCATTATTGTGTGAAGTTCTTTTTTGTTGTTTGTAAATGAGAAACTGTATAAGATATTGCTCTAGGGAATATGACAAGCATGGAACAATTGTTATGTTCTTACTTCTTAGCCTCCACCCTAAATCTGCAAAATTTGAATTTAGTTACTTATGTCTTAAATAGCATCTCAACCTCCAACCGAGAATCATCATTTTTTATCCTTGTCAAAATTTGTCCAACTTTTACATATTAAGTTGATCCATCTAGGTTCTCTCTCCTTCTTGCATCATCATCATCATCATCATCCAAGCCTTATCCCAACTACTATATGGGGTCAGCCACATGAATCCTGTGTTGCCATTTTATTCTGTTTAATGCCATATCCATTATTAAATTATTGGTGCTAAAAAATCATTTCTCACTATTTCTACCTATATTCTTTTTTGGTCTACCCCTATCCCTTCTAGCCAAGGTTTTAAAATATGTGAAAATTATTCTTTACCCCACCTCACACATTTTTATTTGTTTTTTATTTTATTTTGCAAAACCCCCACCTATGACACACATACCTCCCTTTTATTGTGTCAGATCCCTCCATCTGTCAAACAGTGACAAATTTGTGAGGAGGGGGAATCAATAATTTGTCCTTTAAATATCAATACAAGTTGATAAGCAGGATGGGACATATCGGCCTGTATCTTTGGTTGCTTTTAGTTTTTTTTTAAACTGGTTCAGGGGGGGGGGGGTCGGTATAAGACCTATCTACCCCTTGAACAGGTCAGATCCCGAAACGGTTACTGTTGGTGATAGGATGCATTTTACCATTCAAGGTTGCAGAAAAGACATTACCTATCATCTATGTATTGGTTGTTAATCAAGAATTTGTGGTTATCTAATTGCAAGTTTGAAAAATATCAATATTATTTCATTCTTCTGACTCTTCTTTAATTCATTCTGTTTCCACAAGTGGTGACATCTATCTGCATGTTCCTTGTTTTCATATATCTGTAAATAATACAAACATCTGGTGTTTCGGGTTTACCCTGTTTCCAAAGATACAGTGAATCTCCTTCCATTACATATTTACGTAACATTCATTAAGGGAAATTTACTTATACCTTCCTTGTGTTTTCTGACAATTAATTAAACTTCCCCTGTAATTTGACCTCTGTAAAAACCTACGTTAACATTTCAGATAAATATGCAAATGCACCATTAATTATGCTGTAATGGATATATTGAAGTTGTGACTATGCCCTTTTTATTGAATGTGCATAATGAACACTATTGTTCTCTCTTCAAATTGCTTGAGTATGGCATTTTTGCTAATAGGGGGGCTTTAGCTTCAACCCCAACTTGGTATTTATTGTTCACTCGGTAGTGAACAATGAAACCCACATAAATAAAGAAAATCATATTTTTAGGGGTAAATCAATAAATCCTCATCCCAATAAAGTTTTCCATAGGCAAAAATGGGATTTTAAAAATTTAAAGCATTACATCAGCGTTTTACATCAAGATAATTGACGGAAGAGCATGTTTATCTATTAATTTGAAACATGAGGGGAGGTTTATGCAAAGGTCAAAATACAGGGGGGTTTAGTACATGTTCGAAAACAAACGGAAGGTTGGAATAGCTTTCCCTAAAATTAATGGTTAAAACAGACCAGACACAAAACTGTTTTCATCACTGAACTACTGGTGGAACGATCCAACCACCCAGTTCAACTGTTTGACTCAGTTAAAAATAAGAAAGAGAATTCAAAAGATAGCAAATAATTATGATTATCTTTTTAGAGCTATTTTATATCATAATAAGCTTAAAACAGTAAACATTATTGGTTTTAACAGGGTAGAGTAAATATTATTGGTTTTAACTCTTGGCCCCTGGGTGTTTTTAGGGGATATGAACTTAATTTTCAATAGAAGCAAGTCAGTAGAGCTGAGATAGCCAGAAAAAAAAAGAAAAAAAAATAGTAAGAACAATAGGTTGCAAATTATTACCAAGTCATGAGCCAAAGTACACTTGGACAAACAAGAGAGAAGGGAGAGAAAATGTTCAGGAAAGGTTGGATATAGTTGCTACAAATGTTGATTGGTTAGATAGGTTCCAAAAAGCCAGGATGTTACATATGACCACTAGAGGGTCTAAGCACATCCCAGTTCTTTTGGAAACTTGATATTAAGAGGATTAAAAGACCCTTCAGATTTGAAAATATTTGGAACACTCATGAGGATTGTGCAAGATTAACAAAGGAGAACTAGAAGAAGGATTTAGAAGGGAGTAACCAATCAGTTGTGGTCAAAAAGTGTAGGACTCTTCAGGTAGATTTATCAAAGTGGAACAAAAGAGTTTTTGGCAAAGTCCAGGAGAAAATTAAAAATCTACAGCTAAACTGAGCCAAGAGAGAAACAAACCCGGTTGCTTTTTTGATAGATCTAAAATTAATCAAATAGAAGCTCTTTTGGATAATGAACTCAAGAGAGGAAATTCTGTGGGCTTAGAAATGAAGACAAATTTGGATAAAATTAGGGGATAAAAATACAAGATTTTTTCATTAAGCAACCCTGAGTCTGAGAGCCAGGAACATAATTATATCTCTAAAGGATGCCAATGGGGTGTGCGTCACAGGCCAAGACCAGATTGAAACCCTAGTAAATCATTTTGAAGAGCTATTTAAATCTTCAAATCTGGATGTAGGCCAAGATGTTCTCATGCATGTTGAATGTGTAGTTAGTAGTGAAGATAACATGTGGCTTTAGAAGGAAATAGAGGAAGAAGAGATCAAGGAATCCCTATTTCAGATGTCCCCTCATAAAGCTCCGGGTCCAAATGGATTCCCAAACTCTTTCTCTCAAAGGTACTGGAAGGTAGTTGTCCAAGTTTTGTAAAGGCATTTCTAGATTTCTTTCAGATTGGGGTCTTCATGAAGATTTAAACAGAACTTTTATTGCCCTAATACTTAAATGCAAAAATCCTGAGGATGCAACTCAATTCCACCCCATCAACATATGTAATTCTTTATATAAAACCATAGCAAAGGTGTTAATTAGTAAACAGAATTAAACTAATTATTTCCAGAATAATCATCCAGAACCAAAATGTTTTTATTCAAGGGAGACTGATTTTTGAAAATGTGTTAATTTCTCATGAATTGATTCACTTTATTAAAACCACAAAGAGTAAGCAAAAGTTCATGGTAGTGAAATTAAATATGAACAAATCTTATGATAGAGTGGAACGTATTTTTGTTAAAAATGCTATGGAAAAAATGGTGTTTGGTGAAAAGTTCACTGGGTTTTGCAATGCATCTCCTTAACATCCTTTCAAATGCTCATTAGTGGGAGCCCTAACAAAAAATTCTTTCCCTCCAGAGGTCTTAGACAAGGGGAATCCCTATCCCCCTACCTGTTCTTAATAACCTCTGAAGTCCTATACTTGGCTTTAAAGCATGCTCACTCTGTAGGTCTTATTTCAGGAATATAAATTAATCACAATAGTCTTGAAATTACCCATTTGTCTTTTTGCAAATGACTCTTACATATTCTCAAGGAAAAATATTGCAGGAGGAGTGATTATGGAGATCCTGAAGGAGTATTGAAAGGCTTTTGGGCAAAAGGTGAATTTTACTAAATCTGAAGTCTTTTTCTCTCCAAATTTACATCTAAAACTGCAAATAATAATAATAAGAGTCATGGGTGTGAAGAAAGTTGTGAATCCTTCCAAGTATTTAGGGATCCCTTCAGTTTCTGGTAGATCAAAAAGGGGTTTATTTTAACTACTTGGAAGAGAGAATAGAGAGAAAAATTAATGGGTGGAAGGTCTTTTTCCTTTCCTCGGCTAGGAAGGAAGTAATGATAGAAGTAGTTCTAACTGCAATTCCATCCTATGTCATGTCTTGCTTTTTGCTTCCAAAATCTATTTGCAACTAGCTGAAGAAGAACCAAAGATATTTCATGTGGAGAG